GAAGACATGCTGAATGTCGACAGCGCTGATGGCAATACGAGCGATGAAGAGATCGATGAAATACAAGAGTCGTCGCATTCGTCAGACACTGAGCAAAGAGCTGAAGAGGAATGCAATGATAGTTACAATGATTGTCAGACATCTCATAACACGTCATCTCAAGCATCTAATATCAGAGCCACTAAAACCAATCCACAGAATATTGTGAGACAAATATGTGGACCAAACATAACCAAAGAGCGCGCCGATAATAATTACGCGTTGTTTAATAGTTTCATTACAATTAAAATGATACAAACAATTTATTTTTTATTTGAGGCTATGATTAGCCGTCGACTTCGTTTTCAATGTATTCCTGTATTTAATTATAGATAAATCCAATATTTTTCATAAGAAATAAAACTTATTTTGGATAATAAAAACATTTTATTGAATTTAAGACGACACGAAAAAGAGAAGTAATAGTTTTGGCACATAGTTCCTATTTAAATAGGAACTATGTGCCCAATTTATTATTAATATTTAATTAATTAATCTTTAGATTAGATGAATACATAATTAACCAAATTATATGGCCACAAATATGTGGTAAAACTGCGTGAAAAATGCTGGTCGTTACCGAGGCGATCGATGCGGTGAACGGCCACTCGTGTGGAGCCGTTTCACTATTCATGGGTGTCACCAGACGTACAGAATCTGATGACACGTCCGGCCGAAGACCTGTACAGTGTCTCGTATACGAGGCCTACCATTCAATGGCCATCAAACAGATGCAGACAATTGTGGAGCAGAATATGGCCGTCTATGACTCGGATCGGATCCACAAATGTTATGTCTGTTACCAATTGGGACGCGTGAACGTCGGCCAGGCATCTATTGTCTGCATGTCTATTGATTAATAGTTTGTTTCCAATCAATGTTTACTTTTATGATTAAAATTGTAATCAAAACAATAAATGAAATACTTTGTGGTCAAAAACGTGGTCATAATTATTGAATGACATCTCGGCATTTAATATAAACAGCAAAACACACAATACAGCGCATGTCATAAGCGACACGTACACTCCACTCATACACTTCACACATAGCACTAAACCATAGCATAGAATACTGTTTTAAAAGTTGGCCGCTTTTTTGTGATGTATACTATTAATGTGACTTTTAGCAATAGCATAGCTTTCTTGCTTATGCTGCCGTCTAACTCATGTAAATTAAAAGCATTAAATCACTGAACGATATTTTGTACCACGATATAATAGGCGTGGTCAATTTAACCATATAAATGGATGGTTAATGCAAATCTGGTTTATAAGGCATTGAAATACATTATCAGATAATTCAGTGACCACTCTATAGATCACAGAACACATGCATTACACGTGTTCTGTTGAATTCAGTATTTATTTTAATTGTTAAATACGTTTTGTTTATTAATTATTGATTGAAAATGTATTCAAAATTAACGAGTGTTTTATTGATTGAAATAAAGAGTAAATTCAATGCAATGAAGATTTGAAACACATTATTTGGAAAATTAGTGTTGGTATATCATAGCATCTCGGCCTTCGTAGCTAATGTTAAAACCCCATTGAAACCAAAACTAATCGTGACGTCACGTATCCTTAAACTGATGTGACTTTATTTTTCTTAAAACTTTTATAAATTTGTAATTTAAAGCTACATTTATGTATTAACCATACTTTTAGTTCATAATGATTTGTGTGAGCTAAATGTCAAAATTTACCAGGTTCACCCAGTTCATGTTTTACTGTAATTGGACTATGATCGCTTTCAAAATTATGTTCACCTTATCATAATTACTTAATATAAACATAGAAATTAAATAAATGTTATTTAGTCTTTTTCTTTAGTTTCTCTTTTCTTTTTATCATAATATAAATATAACTTTTGAACAAAATGTGATAACTACTCAAAGTTTAGTTAAGTGTGTAAAATTAAATTATTTTGATAAAACCATATAACATATAGTAAATGTGAACCTTTTATTAATTAAATTATATTTAATACTTATATTTAGTGATGCATTAATTTTTTGTTTAGTGCTGTGATTGTTAAATAAATATAATCAAATTATCAATAAATACGGTTATTCATTAATTAAAATTAAAATTATCATGAATTGTAATGAATGGTCAGATTGGGAGACAGAGTTATTCAGGAAAGTGCGAAGAAGTGGATTAAAGAGGTAATATCTAGTCGTTCAACAAAATCCTTCCCCGAGGTTTTTAAAAGTACTCCGAAACAAAATGATCAAATCTGTAAACTGCATATTGATGGTAAATACTATATATAAATTCTATTCTAGAAAAACATTTTTAGCCATTGAAAATAATGTTAAACTCATTTATGACATTAAACTTAAGCACTGAAAAATATATTTCGACATATTGAAAAACATTCATTTTTGTGATTAATATAAGGTGTTTCAAAAAGTATTGGCCGTCGGAATATTGCGATTCCTCGAGGACGGTTGAAGTGACACTAGTGTGACTTTACACATATATAGAGCCATATCGGGAAAATTTTATAGCAAAATTTTTTTTAACCACAATTCAGTATGAATAATGTGGTTAATAGGATTGTTCGGCTACCCCTCCCCCGGCCCCCGCTTTATGGGATTTAACATGGGATTGCATGTTATTCATATGATTTACACTTAACATGGGTAATGCTAATCCAATGGAGCTTTTTCCATAGACTTAACATGAGCTAATGTTATCCTATGGGTAATGTTAATCCTATGGGAGAACTATTTCCTATGATAAAGCGAAATATGAAAAGAAAGGGTAGTTTTTCCCCATGTTAATCCTATGGGAATAATGTTAAGTCTATGAGAAAATGCTTTAACATGGGCTTCTATGGGATTACAGCTTAAGTCTATGGCATAGGGATAACATGGACAATGCTAAGTCTATGGGTAATGCTAAATCTATGGCAATGCTAATCCTATGGGTAATGTTAACTCTATGGGCAAATAAATTTACAATATAAACAAACAAAATAGCGTTAATAACAAAGAAAATTATTAGTAAACCGACATAATATCAACAATAACATTAGAAAATTTTCAAAAAACCAACAATTAAGTAAAATAACAATGATAAATTTTATAAAAAAAAATGATATTCATTCAACAATGTTTTAAAAATTAAAATTTCAAAATACAATTATTAAACGCAATAAGTAAAGATTATCTATTTTTTAATCATCATTCGAATTGTGGTTAACGTATAGCATCGCTGTGTAATCCTTGTTTAGTCACGTTACTATTTTTAACTACGATTCATATACGAAAAATGTGTTTTATAGGATCGTTATGTCCCCTCTTCCCTCCGGCCCCCACCCTATGGGATTTAACCTGGGATTACAGCTTAAGTCTATGGCTATACTTTAACATGGTTAATGCTAAGTCTATAGCAATTCTAATCCTATGGACAATGTTAAGTCTATGGCAATGTTAATTCTATGGGTAATGCTGAGTCTATGAAATTAATGCTAACCCTATGCATCACCCGATTTGTGGTTAACGTTAAGCATCGCTGTGTGAACCTTGTTTATTATTTAAAAAACTGAAAATAAATTTATTGATATTTTTGATAATTAGGTTTTCATTGATTTTTATATCGAAAAATAATTAAACATATATTAAATGTTAAATAATATTTTAACTTTTACTTCACTTTAATGTCAATCATGATTAATTATCCAAAAACCTATTGATCTTTATTATAATTTTATTTATATTGAAGAAAATGTAATGAAATAAATGTGGGCAAAATTATGGGCAAAAATTATTTATTTTTAATGTGTTTTCCTAAATACAACTCTCAATAGCATTATACAAATAAATGTAATATAATTAAAAAATAATTAATGTAATTAACATTATGAATTATCATGATCAGCTTTAATATGCCATAAGGTTAGCATTACAAAGCCTTTTCCAAGCATTCCTGACAAATAAAATAAATCAATATTAAAACAATTAGCGAAATATTATATTTAAATAATTAAAAAATTAAATAACAAAATACTCACAAATTTCTGGATCTGTCTCTTCTCGATCTCAAAGTCGGACAACTTTCTGATCTCATCCCATGTCTTGTTATAGTCTGGCGATTGGTATTTGCGTTCATAACAGTCCCTAACCTAACACGAGTTTAAACAAATTAAAATCACCCTGGCACAATTAACCACACAATTCAAATGCCATTATGGTAAATAACATTTATATCTATACTTACTTTACAATTATATTTTCGCCTATCATTCCAACTGAGCTCCCCTTTAGGCATAATATCCTGGCATTCCTTATACATCATCTAAATTACATCATCACAAAACAAAACAAAATTTAATAGCAAATTATTACTAGATCATAAACATTATTCCATACATCAATCTTGTAGTGGGGGTCAAATTTGTCGCAGTCCTCAATCCGGGTGATAATATCCTGTGGATAGTCTGTATCGGAGCATAATTTCTTGTCCACCGACTTTTTGATTTGCATAATAGGACTGTTGGCCAGTCCTCCCTGGGCTCGACCACCCGGGCCTCCCCGGGAAGGGGGCGGTGGGCCCTGTCGTTGCTGTTGTTGGCCATACGTGTAGCCAATGTATAGCACACATGATATCACTAGAAATGTATGCTTTGCCATGACTTTGAAACTAATACCACAGACACAGAGACTGATAAATAATATGGCATTGTTTTCCTTTTATATTTGCATTCAATTGTCTCATACAATATGTTTGGCGTTTGACATGATTTAGTCAATTCAAACCAATCAATGGCATATAAACTATCATTTAATTGACTTAAGTTTGTTTCGTTAAAATCAAACTTTTTATAACTACAAGATTTTTGTGTATATTGTTTAATATCTATTTCACAATGAATTGCCAAATGATCGCAAGTGTGAGAAATATTTTGTATAACATCTAAAGATTTAATCATTTGTTTTTTGTTTGTGAAAAATAAGTTTAATATAGTTTTGGGAGATTTCGAGGGATGAGTTGGTTTACTAACCATTTGTTCAAAACCATTAAATAAAAGTTTAACTTTAAGCTATTTGCTTCTTTTTGTAATTTGTTATCATTTTTTATATAATTTATATTTAAATCTCCACAAAAACATATTAAATCATAAGTAGTTATGTCGAAATTACTAAAACATGTGTATAAATAGGTGTTAAAATTGATGACAAACCCTCTCAAGAAGTGGTCCGACAGTGAATTCAATACTATTTTTCTCAATTACTACAATTAAATGTTGTTTTATTTTATCCATTATCAGCCTCATTGTTATTGTTATAATGTAAATATAAGTAAATATGTTTATTATTTCACAATTAATGTATTATTATGAGTATTAATATAAAGATTATGTGACTATATATAATTATATAAATCATAACTAATCAATTATTAACACGATTATACATAATTTTTTAAAACAATTCCGTATAATTAATCCTAACTTAATTTTATATAAATATTTTTGCTATAATTTATTATTTATTATGTATATTTAATATTTAGATTACAATTAAATAAATATTAAAATAATTAAATATTAATTTGATCTAAAACCTACGAGATAACCAAGCAAACTTATTCAAAAATGAGTATAATAATCTTTGAATTACATGTTTTGTAAATAACATTTTATTGGATAATACATTTGTAAGGAATGAGTCGTTTTTTGGATAACTTTTAACCATCCATTTATATGGTTAAATTGCCCACGCCTATTATATCGTGGTACAAAATATCGTCCAGTGATTTAATGCATTTAATTGACATGAGTGAGATGGCAGCATAAGCGAGAAAACTATGAGTCACACTAAAAGTCACATTAATAGTATACATGACAGAAAAACGTCCAACTTTTAACACAGTATTCTATGCTATGGTTTAGTGCTATGTGTGAAGTGTATGATTCGAGTCTATGTGTCGCTTATGACATGCGCTGTATTGTGTGTTTTGCTGTTTATATTAAATGCTGATATGTCATTCAATAATTATGACCACGTTTTTGACCACAAAGTATTGCATTTATTGTTTTGATTACAATTTTAATCATAAAAGTAAACATTGATTGGAAACAAAATATTAATCAATAGACATGCAGACTATAGATGCCTGGCCGACGTTCACGCGTCCCAATTGGTAACAGACATAACATTTGTGGATCCGATCCGAGTCATAGACAGCCATATTCTGCTCCACAATTGTCTGCATCTGTTTGATGGCCATTGAATGGTAGGCCTCGTATACGAGACACTGTACAGGTCTTCGGCCGGACGTGTCATCAGATTCTGTACGTCTGGTGACACCCA